ATAGGACCTTTTACTAAAACTCTTTGTAGTAATGAACTAGAATGGAATTGACCAAAAGCACTAGGAACCATAATCACCATTAATGGCATCACAAAATCGACACAATAGAGAACTAATGTCATGAACACCAAGTTAGCTTTACCTCAAAGAATACAAGACCAGGTTCCATTCCCATAATGTCTTCCTCCATAATATCAGTCTTTCCAAAGTCAAAAGATTCAAACTTAGGCAAATTTCTTGATTTTCTATCAGGTGTATCATGTATATCGGAGGACAATGCTGCATCTGTGAAGTTCTCTAGGCTTCTGTTGTCATCCCCATTCGATTCTGGAACTTCCCCGTGTGGATTCACTGTTACCCAATTTACTTTCCTTCGAATTAAAGATCTTTGACTGGCAGAAGCTGATGACTCTATATCAATACGAGAGAGAGTATAGCAGTCAAAGAGGTGTTCATTCTTGTAGCCAATCTCGATAGGCTCCATCTCTGCCGTGATGGGAGAAAAAACAGCTCCAACTCCCTTCCATATCCCACTGACACTACTGATAAATGTATTCCATGCAGGTAAGATAACAGGTTCCTGAAACGAAAGCATACATCTATAAATTTGGAAAGAGACGAAAAAACAAAGAAAACGTAAAACTTGAATAGACATAATTTTGATTATACGCTCATGAATAATGCATCAACATAAAAGTCCAGTATGGGCTAACTGGAAGTGGCTGTGAAGTATCTGCGCCAGGCAAATGATAACTCCTACATAATATGTTTGAAATCACCATGTTCGCTTTGTCTTCTCAAGCTTCTACCTGGCAAAAATTCATCACACTTCCTAAATTTCTGAAATTCCTCGAACCTACCCGTCATTGACTTGTAAGGCATTAATAGAAGGTGTCTTGAAAATAAATACTGTAGCAGTAGTTTAATATAAGAATTTATAAATTAACTTTGTTCTTTCAAAACAATTTTGAAAAGCTAACAACACTATGATTTCAAAGAAAACTTCATCACATTAATGTTCACAGTCAGCTTATTGGACCCACTACAAGTAGATCTTAAAGGTATAATCAACTTCCTCAAAGACCTTGGTCCTCTTCTACTAGTCGAAACCACAAATCACTCTGGTAAGCTAGCAAACTACTTCCAATAGCAGAACGTTCCATGACTTGCCATGTGTTTTTCTGTTATATCTAATTGGATATAAGACAGAGAACTTGTGCATAAGTCGGCTCGCACATGCAGTTATTCCAGCTGCTGACAGAAACGTCAAGCCATCCCCAATTTCACAGCTCACATGAACAGCTTATCATGTAGCAAATGAGCCAATTTCCATACGACATGTCCCAACATGTACCAGACACCTTTGGTTGCTAAATGCTGGAAGCTTGAGTCAAAATAAAGTCATAAACATAAGAGTTTGTCCCAAATTCCAAAAACAAATGAAGTATACTGCATGCCAAGAGAAGACTACAACACAAAATTACGTTGGGAGAACAAAATAAAAGTAAATGGAGGCCAACTAAAGTTTTCATACGGATATATATTTCCGAGTTGCATTCATAAATTCACTCCCATTAGAATTCAATCAGCTACACCTCAAAACCACAAATTGAAAGAATTCAGCTGCATACAAGTCAATTCATCACTTGCATTCCAAATTATAAACAAAATTTACCTGCGTCTGTAAAACAGTTTCGACTTCCATTAACATAGCACTAGATATCATAACTCTATCACCTTTGTTTTTCCTAGTAACATTTCTCATCCTCTTTCCACCTCTTTTTCTCCTCCCCCTCCTCGGCTTATCTCTTTCCTTGTCCGTCTTTGCCATTTCGTTGTCAATACTCCACACATTTTCCTTCCCCTTCCCATGTACTTTGGCCCTCTCCCTACTGTCGAACTTTCTACCTCCAGTATCCCTGCAGGAAACGCAAAAATAGCAATAATTGGGTTTATGTATTGAAGGTGTAGTGTAATGGTAACTGCTGGATCTCAGGAGCTTAAAGGATTTGCAAGCGTCTAGAGATGGAGATTGTATGATTGTGTTCATATTTGGTTATGAGATTGTTAGGGTTCAGCTATCATTTCGTAACAAATTAACACAAGGAGAGTACAACCATTTGGGGATGTAAATTTTCGGAGGATGACCTGACACAGTGACACGTCGCACTCCATTAATTAATTAATGGACGGAAAATCCTCTCTATCCCTAACTAAAAAACTCAAGGAAAGGATCAAAATAGTTCTTTTCTTTGACTAAATTTGACCGCACTTTGCCCGGTATGATTACTTATTTAAATTAATTTATTATAAATTATTATGTTGATTGTTTTGAATTATTTTTAAATATTATATATATAGTTATTTTATAACATGTCAACTTTCAAGTGTGGCTTGCTACAATATAAAAATCTACTTGGAAGGATAAAAAATAATTATTAGATAACGATGATTCAAATATATTAAAATACTTGTGATTTGTGAATGATAAAGATTTATCCAGCAAGACTTCATATGTTATTTTTTTTAAAAATTCTTGGCAGTGCAATTTTCAAGTTCGTGATAATTCTCTCTCAGATAGCAAATTTCCATTATAATAAAAAAGATAGTAGAGATGAAGATGAATCTTTAAAATAAAATAATTAAGAAAAATAAATAAAAATAATAATAAAATTGTCGGGCAAAGAAAAAATTCACACCACTCTCCTTTGCCTAATTTTAATTATATATAAATCATTTTGAGATAAAAAAAAGATATCTATATTTTCCAACAATGTCGTTTATTTCGAAAACATGTACAAAATAATTCAAAATTCAAAAAAAAATTAATATAATTATTTCTAAAATTATAATAGATTTTAACTTAGAAAATAAAATTATTGTATTTTAGTTCACTTTATAACTATGTACTTACTTGCAACATATTAAAATTTTTTTTATTTAAAAAATTCATTTATAGCTAATATTAAATATTCTTCAAGTCTTATTTCAATTACACTATAACTATATATAAACTTGTAACAATTTAATTTTAAAAAGAGTAACAAATTTTGATACATAGCTAATAATAACGTATACTTCAAGTTCGTATGAACTATCAAAATTCATTAAGAAATCAATACAATTATGTTAAGAATTTATGGTAAAATATGATTTATCCCATAAAAAATAAAATTATTACATTTACATCTACATTAAAACTATGTACACACTTGCAAAAATAATAAAAGAAATAAATTTGATATATCAATAACAATAACTATTTTCCGAGCTTGAATTATACATATACTTCATATAAGTAAGGCCATATGTGTACGCCATTCTTCTTTGGTTCCTGTTAACAAAATTTTTGCACAGGAATGATATATTAATAATGGTGGCAAAAGCCAAAAAAAATGGAATCTAGAAGCTTCTTTTTTTAAAAAAAAAAATGAGTTTCTAATGAAGGAGTAAATTAGTAATTATAATGAAGATTTGAGAAGAAAAATATTAAATGAAAAAGGAAGAATGTTCTGAAGTGAAAATGGTTGTCATTAGTATTTATAGTGATAAAAAAAAGTAAATGGATTTGAGTGTATAATTATAAATAAATGAGTATTGTATGCATTAATTGTACCTAATTGAATGTTAAAATTATTTTAAATAATATTTATTGATATTATTTAATCTATTTTTAAAGACTTTTTTCATTCCTCTTTTACGTTATACTTGATTTTATTCTCATGATCTCATCTTTATTGTTATCTATTTATTTTCATAAATCCTTCTAAGGTTAATGAAGGAATGACAATGTGGGCTACAATCAGATTCAATTGAGTATTTACTGCAATTTATTGTTTAATTGAGTTTTATGAAGTTTTTGTTAGTTGTCATTTTATTTACTCTTATATTAGAAAAGGCATGTTCAACATGCCTGCTTCATAGGTCTGAGGGTATTTTAGTCTTCTTAGTACTCCATTTTGGCTACGTGTCCTGTGGTTGTGCTTTCAGTGTGCACATCACTGCAGACTACAAAAGTACTCTTTTCTCCAGCATTCTGTTGAGGTAAGCTTCTTCATATGGTTTCTTTGGTTTTATTGTCATCTTCTTTGTTTTCCTCAAAATTGATGATTTTTTCTTCTTTTTCAGTTGGTTTTAGTGTTGATGTTCAATTTTTGTTATGTGGTTGTGTTTTTCCTGTTTAATTACTGATTTTTGCTTTGTTTATTACATGCAACAATTAATTTAGTCTTTCTTCATCATAATTCTTTTGAATCTTATCTATTGATAGATGGTTCTTTGTCGAAATTAACTTTTGGGGTTCCTTAATTCCAGTTTTTTTTTCCATCATACTTCTTTTGGACTTCCTCTGTTTGTATATGTTGGTTTTCCATTGGAATTAACTTTTTGGGTTTCTTCATTTTAATCGTATATAGTTGTGGGTTTCGCTTCGAGTTCTTTTTACATCATTGCATTGACTTTTTGAAATTATTTTAATTTACAGTGTGAAAATTTAAAGATCTGCAACTACTTATGCCAGAATTTGAACTATCGATGTGTCTTCTTAGCAAATTCAAGGATCTGGAACTACTTATACCAGATTTGAACTACGGGTATGTTCGTTGATGGTTTCTTACGCCCTTTATTCCGATTTTGCTCTTTGTCCTATATTAGATACGTCTATGAGCTTTCTTGCTAAAGTGCATTTTCATTCTCTGGGTTGTGTGTACTGAAGGACCTGAGAGAATTAGAGAACCGATTATTATGGGTGCTTCGTTTGATCATGGGGAGGATGTCAATCTGCATCTAGCCAGGGAAGCTGGCCACTCCTATCGCCAAATTGTCCGTGCTGCTAATATGAGAGTCAGAGAGATAGAAAAGGCTCTTATTAGAGACAATTATTGACACACGTGTTTCAACACCATTTCGCTATAGATTTATTGACCACTCAAGTAAGTTTATTCATTTATAGCAACTGTTTGTGTTGGTTATTATGGAGAAACTTTTCTGTTCTAGCATCAATTTGGTCTAAAATGAAGGGTTGTTGCTTTAATCTTATCAAACTTGGAATTATTCTTTTGCTTATGTGTTATAGTTGATTCAAATGACATGCATTCAAACAATTGTTATGTTATCGATGTCTTAAAGATATTCATGTATTATGATGTATGAATTTGTGTAGGTGCACTAACTATGATTCTAATGATGTATAAATGACATTTAACGAAGTTTCGATCTGACTATATGTGATCTGTATGTTGTGAATATTGTACAATGATTTGCATATGCTATTGGTTATGATACTTGACTTCATATATATACCTGAAAAATATTAGATCTCACCTATATAAGTGCTCCCAAAAGCTCTATTAATTGGCAATATTACTTACTATTATTGTGTCTTAAAAATAAATTGTCAACAAAATGGGTTTTCAATGAGTTGTTAAACTTCTGCTTGTCTTACATTTGTATTTTCCTATTGGCTCATTTGTTTTTTTTAAAAAAGATCCATTGGCCTGTTCTGGTGAAAAATGTTGTCAATAACTTAGAGCTATTGGAGTTAGCAATTTCTTTATTGAAAAACTGAAGATCTTCTCGAAATAGCTCTTATTACTCTTGTTATTAATCAAGTGGAGTGTCAATGGTATGATCAAAGAAAAGGTAATTGTATCTGATGAGAGCTGATACATGAAAAATGCATTTTTTGAACTTGTCAAGTTTATCAGTGAGCCAAAATTGTGTTGTTGTTGTAGTTATAACTTATTGTTCATTACAGCTGCATATAACTATGGCTATACTATTATTGATGTAGTTAGCTTTCTCCTATAGCTGGCCCTAAATATTTTTGCTATCGTGGAGTAGTCGATTGATAAATATAGTAATAAAATTTTATGTTTTCGAAGTCGAAACTGAACTTCTCAGCTGGTTCGAGCCCACTGGTCTTCCTTTTTTCCTACTAGCACCATGGTAACTATGGTAACTGGTGTGAAGTATAGGAAGTTGATTTTTTTGGCATGTGTATCTTATTTCCATAATTGCTTTGATTTTAGCCACCAAGATTAAGCATCTAACTTTAATGATATTCATTCTGTTTTGCAGATTTAGAAATATGTATGTGGGATAAAAATTTATGTAATTATCTAGACTGATCTGTTGATATTTTCTTGCTTTATCCCATGTTTTAATTTGTGTGATTCTAATATTGTTCTTGAGCGTGTTCAGTTTCCTCGACTTTTGTAAGTGTAACTTAAAAGTTGTAGCGATTTCATAGAAAAGCTAGCTATACAAATTATCAGATTTCTGATAATATATAAACGCCCCAAAAAATGTGTGGGCAGAGTTATATAAATTGAAAAGGTCTTCTTAGTTCGACAACTAGGAAACAAAGATAAACTAAAAAGGCGTCGTCGAGCTGACAGTATAATTTTGTCACCTTCAGAAGAGGCTGACCTCTTTCCTGTGGCAATCCTAAGATTGAAAAATGATAGAAGGAACTTTATGTGTCCTATATATCGTCATCACTAACCATTTCCCTCATCTTTTCATTTCTTGATCGGTCGCTTAAGCACATAGCCATCTTGTTCGTCCTCATATCTCTCTCTATAAATGCCTTTGCTATATTTTTCTTTTTCATGGATTGATTGACTTATTTTCAGCATAGTAAGATTGATTATCTTTTTAAATAACTTGAAACTAAATCATAAGATTTGTTAAATTTTCAATGATTGTATGGTTCCTAATTTGTATTGACCTGTGGTCTCAATTCTGTCAAAGTCAGACAAACTATGGATCACACAAATGTTGTTTGCCTAAAGCACTGCTTCTATTCAACTACGAGTACAAATGAACTTTTTCTCAATTTAGTCATGGAATATGTTCCAGAAACTATGTATAGAGTGCTAAAGCATTACAGCAATATGAACCAGAGAATGCCACTCATCTATGTTAAGCTTTACACCTATCAAGTGAGTGAAGTGCTTTCCTGAGTGGTATTTTTTATTTCCTTAGTTTGAACAATACAAAGTGGTATTATTGTTTCCTTAGTTTGATCAATACAAAGTGGTATTATTGTTCCCTAAGCTTTGAGCCATACTAAGATTTAGACGTGGTCAGGTATTTAGAGGGCTAGCTTACATGCATACTGTTGCTGGCGTATGCCATAGGGACTTGAAGCCTCAGAATGTTTTGGTAATGCATCTTTCAAGCTGCTAATTTTTCATAGCAAATTATGGCTTTTTTCCCCTTATGTCATTGTTTGCTGTCACAGGTAGACCCTCTTACTCACCAAGTAAAGATTTGTGATTTTGGAAGCGCAAAAGTGCTGGTAAGTGTTAATCATAAGAGTTTCTATGGCTATTATCATTTTCGTACTAAAGATTATGGATTTGATCCCAGTCTTCCTGAGATGTGTTCACTGTTTTTAATTCAAACTTGGTCAGTAATAATTCTGACTTAGTAGGGGTGTCTTTTGGCCTCATTTTTTTTTATTCATATTTGTGTTAACTGTAAATTGATCCTTTCTAGATGTCCAGGATATTTTGACTTCTTCGTACATTTGTTATTGAATACCAGATAACACATATAGTTAAATACTTATTGTTGAAATATTTCTGAGGTCATGGTAATTCTCTTAGGATAAGATCCTGTTAGCCATGATTTTGTGATTGGTCAGATTCTGTAGTCACCTGTGTGTTTATCTTGTTGCCACTTTCAGGTGTTGTGTTTTATGTAAGTTGAGTCATACCATGTTGGAGTTAGTTGATGTTTGTTATTTAACCATGGTGCAGTTCTATAATTCTAATTTACCTCCCTTAACATACTTTCTCAAAAAAAGTTACCTCCCTTAGCATATCCCATGAACTGAAAAATTCATAATGTAATTTTTTTTCTTTTTTCTTGGGAGGACAAACATGTGGAAATTTATAATCACGCCATGAATACCTTTGATGGGGTTTTCACCTTTTCAATGACTTTAAATAAGAAAGCAATAGGTTTCCACTTCCCATGACCGTGATTTCATTATCTTAATTTTGACTATTGCAAGCTTATGGTGTAGACTATGTCATTTCAAAAAGCTTCCTTTGTGTGAGAATTACTCGATTTTAAGGTTGTGGTTGGTTCTTATATTTATGGAAGTACCATATATTTTCAGGTTAAAGGAGAAGCAAACATCTCATACATCTGCTCGTGGTTTTATCGGGCTCCTGAACTCATATTTGGTACAACAGAGTATACTACTTCAATTGATATCTGGTCAGCTGGCTGTGTCCTTGCTGAGCTTCTTCTTGGCCAGGTTTGTGGTGATCTAGAATTCTATAGCTTACGTACTGCCCATGAAATCTCTGCGGACTTTTTTGGTGCACTTTTCTAGTTTCTAACCAATTTTTGCAATCTTCTTGCAGCCATTGTTCCCTGAAGAAAATGTTGTGGACCAGCTTGTTGAGATAATCAAGGTGTTGTGTGATAAATTCTTGTTTACTGATGCAAATATTGTAGCAGGTTTGTAGTGATCTAGACTTCTATAGCTTACTGATTCTTGTGTCATTTGCTTTATCTTATGGGTATTTGTAGTGGATATTTCTTCCAAGACAATGAAAGATTTTCAACTTGCACTGATAATGATTTACAGCAATGTGATATGAACGTACTGAATCTTTGTCCTTATGTTAAGATGAATAATTCAAGTTTAGTCCCAAAAGATTTCTATTGAATGAAATATTTTGTACTTTATAGTGAGAAACAAGAATCTGTGATTTTTTTTATTTTGTTTTTAGCCTTGAATTGAGCTATATAGGGATGCATTTATTTTCTGTAGTAACAAATAAAACGCCGAAATTCAGTTTTATGTCTACTGAATTAAGAATTTGATCAGTCAGTAATGAGACAGCAACAGAAACAAGAAAACTGAACCAATATACTCTTCATGTTCTTGAATCCCCTGATGTGAAGTCTTGAATAAGCCGTCTCATGTATATATATAGCTACAATCAGAAACTGGAATCAAAGAATGAAAGTGAGTGGATCAATCAGAGTTGTTATGGAAAATGATTCATCACGAAGAGAATTTTTTTGAAAACTTGTGAGGTGTGCCAAGGCATCATTAATATTTGAATTAGAAGTAATGATCAATAATCAGTAACAGTAATGATTTTCTCAACTTTTCTTTGTAATTTTATTATCAAATATCTTAATTAATTGCTAAAGTAGTGACTCTATTGTTTGTGGTAAGAATATTGTTCTCAATAGATGAGCATAATTTACCAACATGTCTAGAAATTAGGCTCTGAACTTTCGTAAATCTTGTTGTATAGATTTGGGTGTCGTAAAAATTGAAGTTATGCATATGTTTCATTTTTTTCATGGAAGAAACTTAAAATGTCTTTCTGCTTTGGGATAAACATGTCTGCACCAGTATAGTACTTTCTCTTCACTCATTTCTTTCTGAATTTTTTAAATTTGTTGCCTCCATTTTAATTGTTTGACTTGACACGACATATAACTTTTAAATCTTGTAGTCACAAACTAAAGATGTGTATAATGCACCTAACATGTCTGACAGAATGTTGGATATAAGAATTGCTGAATAAAAAAAAGTGATTATTTTTTAAGCAAACTAAAAGAAAATAAGACAAATAAATTGAAAAGGAAGTAGAAAATTAGCTAGACTTAATAACTAGGATAAGCCGGGGATATATTTAAATATATATGTCATGTGTGAATCCTTTGTCATGTTGAGCTTCACTGATCCTTTATGGCTTTTGTATATTTTGATAGTATGAATTGTTTTCCTCTATAACACTAACCAAAAGAGCTTTATTTATTATTTATCATATAGTTTTTCCATGTCATCATGATGTTTCATCAGATTTTGCTCTATTGACTGTAAATTTCACTTGTAATAGTAAAGGGTGTCTTCTCTTGTTTTGTCTGCATAATGTTTGGATGGTTGGTATATATTGTTCAGCATACTGGTTGATTTACTATAAGCCACACTATCAAACCATATGTATAAAGCTGCAACACAGAGGTTATTATTTTGTTGTGTTCATTGATATGTAGGATATGAAAATAATTTTCCTTCAAGATTTTGTACGTATGCTGCGCTATGCTAGGTGATCTATAATCTGTATTATTGTGTTACAAAGGACTTGTGTTACTTGTGTACAAAGACCCTTCTACATTTACTAAATATTTGAGATTTCATCATTTGAATTGGGCTACATTGTGCTCTTTTATTCTTGAGGTTTCTCTAATTATATATGTTTAACTAAGTATTCAACTTTGAACCTATATATTTCTCTCTTTTTTCACAGGTACTTTTTACCAGGGTGATAAGCGATAAAAATGTACCACTACATAGATGATACACATTCAATGTAAATAAAGTAGCGAGGAACTTATTTTATGCATTTAGCTCAGAAAATTTGTTTAATGTTGGGCCCGTACTTGTACGGGCCATCTCTACCTAGTAGTAGTAGAAATGAAATAAAAATGCAATTAAAATAAAAAGAAGTAAGAATAAAGATAAATCTAAATGCTGGCCATAGAAAGGTGCCACATCACCTTTTCTATATCCAGCTTTATATTATTATATAGATTTTATGTGGATCATTAATAGTTTTATCATATTTGTAATATTGGTGTACTTTTAATTTCTCTTTAAAATTTTATCTATTTTTTAGTTTTGATATTCATAACCTATGTATAGAATGTTCAATAGTCATTATATCTATTTAGTAGAAATAACAACTACATATGAAAGATTATACTAAGAAAAACACTTTGTTTTGTTTAGTAAAAATCGTATTACAGGTAAAGTCGAGAGATTATCACGATAACTTCACGTGTAATAATATAATTTTTTCTTTTCCTGCAAAGTCATATGTTAAGATGTTTTTAGTTTAGATGCAGTAATATTTCTAGTGAATAAAACAATGTATTTTTCTTATCACCTTCTCTCAGATAGACTTATTATTTCTATTATTTATATAAAAAGACAATTAGACATTCCTTATATAAAATTTTGGACAAAATTAATGTTAAAAAAATAGATAAAATTTTACGGGAAGATCAAAAATGCATAAATATGGTAAACATAAGGGACTATTAGTGCTCCATATGAAAACTCAAGAATCACTTTGAGTCTTAACCCAAATACGAGGGATTATTTTGAGTCTTTCCTCAAAAAACTTCTACAAAAAGAAAAAAAAGCCAAGTGTTCAGTGTTTGGATTCACTTTTTTACTAGTTAACTAAATAGCACTTCGCGCGATCATACTTTTGTATATTAATTCATAAAAGAAAATTGAAGCAATGTAAAAATCAAATAGATATTAACAATAAAAGAAAAAATAATAGAATTAAATTAGTTTCAAGAATTAAGAACATAATTATAATTTTTCCTCGGAACAATATAAAGACATATTTTTTTATGCACCAATTTTATATAATTGTTATCTCACCTTGGGGTGTTTTAAATTATTTATGTTATTTCACTGATAATTTCCTTTATATAATAGTATTTATGTTTATATATTTATTTAACTATATTAAATTAGTGTTCACGTAATTTTTCTTGCTTGTGATATAATTTTTTCACAATTATTACTCTAAAGTATGAACATGTCAATTTGTTTAATTATTAATATTAATAGCCTAAACATTTTTGTTATATATTTGCGCAAAACTTTCGTATGAAAGGATAAAAATTAATATTTTATGAAAAATTTACATTAAAATTAGAAATAATAAATACATAAGAGAGCTCAAATATCAATTTTGTATATAAACAAAATTAATTATATAATTCAAACACTACATAAAGTTAAAGAAGTTAAAAGCGAATATCCATGATTTCATCTATCAATGTGTGGATGAGTTTTGATTTGCAATAAAGAATATGAAAAATTTGGACAATAAATGATGATAATTGTGAGTTTTATTCTTATAATAATATACTAATAAAATAAATTAGAAAATAGGAAAAAATTATTTTTCTGATTGGTGCATTTTTTACCGTCAACTTTAATCATGAATTTATCATGAAACATAATAAATATAAATGGATGTTAGAATTAATTTTATTTTACGGAGAGTTACGCCTTTCCTTTTTAAAATTTATTTTGTGAGCAATTATTTTATTCTTTAATTGACTAATTATGTAAATATTCTTTAGATTATTGAAAATTAGATAAAAGGAGAAATCTCATAAATTATGAGAGTTAAAGGAATGATAATTTTTTTTTCAAGCTATTTGAAATGATATTTCATTAGATTGCTTTATTTTAATAAATTTTCATTCATTAAAAGAAAATGAAAGATTTGAGTGATATATATATATATATATATATATATATAATGGTTGATGTGACATTCTCCAATGGCCAGCATGTTAATACCTAACAGTGATGTTATTAAAGTCTTTTAACAAACAAACAAACAAAAAACAATAACCCTACGTAATAATAAATTTCAATAATACCCAAGTAACGGAATTAACCACTTAATGCTAATTATTAGATTGACTTTTGACTTTTCGATTTCTCCAGTTTTAATGTGCATTGTCATGTCAAAATTAGGATATAAAAAAACAAACTTTACCTCACCACAATCATTTGAATTGTTATTTAGTGTGAATTATATTAAGTTGTGCTTATTTGTATGTGTTATCTTCTTAGCATATCAAAATATATTCATTTCTATATTGACAAAATTGTTTGTGAATAAATTAGACTTTTGACCTCATGTATGAGTGTTTTTTACTTGGCATTTGCTAAATTTTTCAGATTATCGCATTTGTATCAAGGAGTGTGTGGTGTTAAATATAATTTTTAAAAGGTCACTATTTTACTTTTTAAATTGAAAAAAAAATTGCTTCTATTTATTTGATTGTGTTCCTTTTTTATTAGATTATTTGAAATTTAAAAACTGATTAAGATATTCAATTATTTAAAAGTAGAGACACAATCTTACTTATATTTCTTTGTTTGATGCAGATGAATTTAGCTTTTTACTTCAATTACTATCTTCCATCAGTAAATTAATGGAATTGACCTTTCCTAAAAGATGAGTTGAAGTTCTAATTTTAATTAATGGAAGCGAAAGTAGACTTATGGTGTAAAAACAAAAATGTTGATTTTGAGAAAATCTTAAGTTTGTGGCGTGTTACTAAAGAAATAAAAAAAAAACTTTTCTTTTTTATGTATGTAATAACAATTTACCCAATTCTGTTTCTTATTAATACACCTAACCTTTTGAAATAATTAATGTGTATAATATTTATACCTCTTCATATTCTATAATATATTTTATGTGCTATTTTAATATTTTGTTTTATTTTCTCATGTTGAAACTATGTAATATTATCTTTTGATTACTCATCTTTATTACTATTAAGAAGTTGAAAAAGAAGTAAGAACATATATTTGACAATTTTTTAAAGAAAGAGAACGGATAAAAGAAAAAGGTAAAAAAGGGTGAGGAAAAAAAGTAGAGTTTAACTACTATCCACCGACGGTGGACAAAAAATTACACGGGCATATTATTTTTGGAAATATTTAATTTTTTTAATTAATATATTTTAATATTATTAATATTAAAATAAAAATAATAACAGAGTGTTATATGGTAACTTGAATTATAAATTAATTGTACAAATTTAATTAGGATTCTTATTTGTCTTACCAAAAATAAAAAATACATAATTTCTTGTGTTTTCTTATTGGAAAGCACTTCAATCCTTCAAAGAAAATCATTGCCAACATATTTTTTTTTATAAGAACCGGTACTTGTTGCCATTGAAGCAATGCTAGCAAAATATTAATATGAAACTATTCCAGAAACATAAAGTGCAACAAAATCAACATATTCAAACTTATAAGAGTAAGCAAACAAAATCAAACACTATTAAATACGGCCCATGATTTAATCATAATTGCATGCTTGGTTACATATTTTTTAAACGAAATCCTTCTTTTGAACAAACAAACTCTTGACCAATAATGGATTTATCTTTTCTTGATCTACTAATTCGATTTTTGCGCACACTAAAACCATTACGATGAGCATAATCAAGATAAAATTTAAATCCAGTATCAAGTGATTGAAATTCCATACCGATGTAAGGCTCTCTTAATTCTTGCTCACCTAGTTGAGGAACAAAAGATACAACTGCATTCATGTTGCTTTCTATATCCTCCAAGGAATCTTCAATTCCTTCTGCATTTTGCTCTTCTAAATTAGAGATTTCAAAAGTTTCCTGCAATACACAATTATTAGATATTAGACTGATAGGGTGAGTTAGCTTTAAAATTTTAAATATTTTTCATGGCTAATGTATTGAACTTCTTCAATTTGCTAAAAAGTTCTTAAACGTATTCTTTAAATATCTTCATCACTACAAAACATAAATTTCTTCATACATTAAAACAAGAATATTTCTTTGAAACGTTTATTCATGTTGCAAAAAAGACTTAATAAGTTATGTAAAAAAAGATATACGAGGAAAACGCTACCATGATAATTGTTTCAAATTGCTTCAATGGTGGATAGTTGGTTGCTTCAATGGTTTATGTAGAAAAAGAAGAACGTTAATCCAACTAAGAAAACACAAGAAATTATGTATTTTTTATTTTTGGTAAGACAAATAAGAATCCTAATTAAATTTGTACAATTAATTTATAATTCAAGTTACCATATAACACTATGTTATTATTTTTATTTTAATATTAATAATATTAAAATATATTAATTAAAAAAATTAAATATTTCCAAAAATAAAATGCCCGTGTAATTTTTTTGTCCACAGTTGGTGGATAGCAGTTAAACTCAAAAAAGTATTACAAAAAGAGTGCATGTAATTAGATTTATTTAAGCCGTACAAAGAAACATCATGATTTTTAGAAATGTATACAGAAAGAATTAAATTTTTCTTGAATTGTTATGTTTTTTCTTTACTTCATTTAAAGAAAAATAAAAGTATATGAAAATCAAGTACTTTAAAAGATTTAAAACTCCTAAGTGATGAAAATTTGTATATGAATGTATGAACCTAAATTAAATGTGAATAATTAGAACTTGGAATATTTGAATTTTATTAATAAATTGGGAAGATTTTATATATTTCATTGGGATAATGAACAAATACCCTCTTAACCTATGCCCGAAATTTGAAAGACACACTTATACTATATTAATATTCTATTACCTCCCTAAACTTATTTTATTAATAATTTTCTACCCCTTTTCAGCCTACGTGGCACTATCTTGTAGGCCCAATAGTGGTTGACTTTTTTTCAAGCTAGTGCCACGTAGGTCGAAAAGGGATAGAAAATTACTTATAAAATAAGTTCAGAAAGGTAATAGGACCTTAATATAATGTAAGTGTGTCTCTCGAATTTTGGACATAAATTAAGAGGATACTTGTCCATTTTTCCTATTTCATTTACTATTTTTTGACTTATTTTAAATGAATTTCTTTCATAAGTGACTTATTTAGTGTTTGAATTGATGTTAATTAGGAAAGAGTATAATGCGTTAT